GGTGTCCTTAACCCCCACGAGTGTATCAAAATGAGCTCGCTCATATCGTATCGCTTCCGATTTTGAATCCTGACTTCTCAGTAATGAGTCTGTGTTAATGAGTAGCTGACTAATGAAAAATAATAAGTAAAAGGTAGAAAGCTACTTTTACGCGTGTTTATCATTCGGATTCTTTCGTCCTTCGTGACTTTCTAGCTGTAAAACTGTTGAAAGCGGAACTTGTGTACATTAGTTTGTGAATTTGACGAGTTTTATTCTGAATTTTTTACAATATCAGATCACAACTGTCCTTTTTTTGCTAATTATTTTCAATTTTTTTCAAATTCAAAACTAAATACAAATTAATATTTCACTTCGCCTTACTTAGACACATCTTTTTAGGATCTATTTAAAAGAATAATTTGATGAATGATCAACTCGACAAATTCATTCGTAGCAAATTTTTATCTGCTCAATATTTTCTTTACTAACTATAAAAGTTATGACGTTACATTGAAGATAAATTGCTTTATGCTATTTTACGTGGCGTGCTTTACGGTGTATCGATTGATCTGCCATTTAAACCTATGGAAAAGGATCGATAAACAGGGTGTTCGTAACGAACACCTCAATAATCGATTCTTTACCATAGCTTCAAATGAGGAAATATCGATTATCGATCATTCACGCCTCGCCACTGTAGAGAAGTCCAGAAATCCCAACTAAGATTTTCTCAATAAGTGTGCATTTTATTCAGTGTCGAAGGACTAAGCGGAGTTCAGCCTGCGATTTATCGTTAAGTTCTTATTCGAGAAGCACCTCTCACGCGAACTGTAACGATCGATTAAGTTACCTAAACTTTATTTCCGTGGGGTGTATCGCGTATGAATTTGTTTCAAAACTATGGTTTTAATACTTGGCATCACCGCACTTCTTCTTTCTTCGTGACTCGGGCACTGATCTTCGACTCTTTCGTGTGAGCCGTCTACCCGTCCAACAGAAACTGGATCTTCGTCATTCCTAGCAGCATGGAGTCTCCCCATAGCACTCTTCAGCGTCGATTCAATGTTAGTTGAAATTTTTTATTTTTTACTGCCTACGGAAAAGGGGTTTATCTACAAGAAGGGCATTTTTTTAGGAGAGTGTCTCTTCGCGAAAATTGATCGAAAAACTGGCAGTCTAATTTTTGGTGGGAAACTCTCAAATAGTTAAAGGACCGAGTTTTAAGCTGTTGATTTCATTGTTGTTCTGAAAGAATAGTTATGGTTTGAGCCACAGTGCGATATAACTATGTTAATCATCAACAAATTCTGTGGTAAAAAATACCGTAACTCGAATCTAATTCACCGAAAGTATGGTAAATGCTCCACAAGGTCTGGTTATCTTTATTCTACAGTATCACTGTGCCAAAAATCAAGTGGACTCATGATAGAGTGTGCCGTACTTCTGGAGAAATTTGCCATACTCTTTTTCAGTGTCGGTCAGTAAAGGACATTTCTTTTCCGTGCCTGTTCTGATCCCGCTAAATTTTCAATGAAGAAGCTCCATTGGTACTAATACATATATATTTATGTTTAGTTTTTTTAAATTATTTCTCCATTTATTAAGTTTGAATATTAATTCGTACCTTTTTTTGCAGAATGTGCTGCGCGAATTGGAGCAGAAGAAACCGCAGCTGGATGAGCTGGTTCACACAGCCGAAAATCTTCGTGCTGACTCCAACCGCCAACAGCTTCATGGCAAAGGTAGGGCCTCATCTTTCTTTGGGTGCATTTTTCAGAATCGTCAGTTACTTTGCCGTGCAAAAACCAAACGCCGTATGAATATTTGAAATTTGCGAAATGTGCAGTGGTAAGAAATTGATTTTTGCCAAAATTGATGAATATTTTCCAACGAAATTTGCAAATGCTTTCGAGTGAATTGCGAGTGAAATTCTTTCAAGGTCCGAATATTCACACAGCGATTTTCCTCAGCACGATTGTACAGAGTAACCAGCGACCTATATGAGGGTTTTTTCTTATCAATGGATGTATGTAAAAACGCGAATACTTCACACAAAATTGACTGGTCGCAGGAAGGAGCGTTTCCATTGCGGGTGCACCAATTTTCGCTTTAATGGTCGGGAAAGTTAGGGAATACCGTCAATATTAAATAAACTGAACGATTTCTTCTTCCCTAAAAATAATCACTGATATTCTATGTTTTTTATGTTTTGGTTTGAAAACTCTACAAAATTTAGTCCCTCCTTAAGTCGTCGATGGTCAGGAAATTTTCGTACGTTCTGATCCCAGAATCAATGAGACTGTAAGAGAAAATCGGAAAATTTTAGTCAGGCTGTTATGAGTTTTCATTTCACCCGGAATTCACCGATAATCTAAGAACCATCAACCTGTGATTCAGGAAATCATTCTTCTCAGCCACTGCCAACATTGCAGTCTGACCCGAGGAAGCGCAAAGAAATGAACCACCCGAGTTTGAGGAGGAGGAGAGAGAATTTCCTTTGCATCTGAAAGTGATCGAACAGCGGTGATCGATCATTCGGAGACTTTTTATCGAGGTTACATATCAGGCAGCGAGTACAACCGTTTTAATTTCAGCCGATTTTCACGCGAATGATGAACGGAATAAGGAAAAACGCCGTATGAACATCTGAAAGTTGCCAAATTTTCTTCGATTCAAGGCTTATTTTTGAAGAATATTAGGAATATTTTTCTTTGAAATTTTCAGGAGCTTTCGATTAAATTGCGAACGAAATTATCAGAAAAATTTGAAGAAAAATATTCCTACGTTTTCTAAGAAATTCGTGTTTTATCAAAGGAAATGTGGCAACGCCTGAAGGTTCATACGGCGTTTTTCCCTAGTACGTCAGACTGATGAACGGACTATCTGCAGAAAAGAGGGCTCCTGGCATGAAGCTCGTATCTTTATTCATGGGGAGAAAGAGTGGACCACGCGTCGAAGAAAAGTCTGGGGTTTCGACGATAGAGTAGAGGTAGTGAGTGTTGCAACATCAATGCGTGTTTTCTTTTTAAAATTTTACGCGCTTCCAGACTTGTGACGTCTTGGAAAGTCTGTGAACATACTTCATTCCTCTCTATCAAAGTTTCAATTCCTCAAGTTATGATATAATTTCACTCTTATATTTGGCGCCAAAATTAGCCAGAAGTATCGTTGGGATTGTGCACTGGCGAATGCAACAAAGTGGCAACATTTTTTTGCTTCATTTAAACCTATGGAAATGTATCGGTTCTTGGAGGGGCCAGGTGCTCCAAAAAGAACCGATTAGTTAGCATAGGTTTTAATGGAGAGAATCCGTTGTTGCCAAATTGCTGGATCCGCCTCTGGGATTGTGATCCTTTTTACCCCCATGATATTTTATGTTCCATTCAACAACTAATTTTAAGTAATATTCTGATGTAAAATTTGCGGGAATTTTCTTCAATGGCAAAGAAATTTATAAACATGTTTCAAGAAGCTGAGTTGTTGACTTATAATATTGACGTGAAACGTATTAAGGATGATCCTGGTTCAAGTCTCAAATGTTTTTTCCTTTAATACATATATTTTTTCATCAATTTAAATGAAACATTTCAAAATCATAAGTTGAAAAACGCAAACTCTGCGAGTTTTAATATTAGAGCCTAACTGAGCCTAACACACAGCGGAGCAGCGTGCTGCCAGTACTAAACGCTCTCTGGCGCCTACAAACCTAAGGGGATACTTCACGTATTGCGCAATGATTGAAGTATCCCCTTAGGTTTGTAGGCGCCAGTGCGCATTTCGTGCTAGCAGCACGCTGCTCCGCTGTGTGTTAGGCTCTAATATTAAAACTCGCCGAGTCAGCGTTTTTCAACTGATGATTTTGAAATGTTTACCCACTCTACATGGATTATTCTCATGTAAATTGATGAAAAAATATGCGTATTAAAGGAAAATACAACGTGTGTTCTGCAAAAATTAAGGTGGTTCCATGTCAAATTTAATGATTTCCAAAGCAGGGAAACTCCTTAAAAAGTTTTTGATTTTGTTTTGCGAAATCCGTCATGGATGTTGAGTCAGTCCGAAGCCGAGATTCAGAAGTGAGCATGCTGCGTATTGTGACATCAACCAATTTTCTCGCATCGGAACTATCAGGGTTGCCACAGTCAGTAAATACCGGGAAAACCGGGAAATGTCAGGGAATTTTTAGAGTCAGGGCAAACCTGGAAATGTGAGGGGAAATGACGAAAATGTCAGGGAAAATGACGAAAATGTCAGGGGAAAATTGTCGAATCACCTTCATTTGCTTTCTCGAATGAGTTTGATCTCTCGAACAAGAAATTTTGCCTGAAAACTATTTCTGATTGTATTTTTAAAAATCTAGCATTTGTTCAATTTTCAGGGAATCTCACCAAAATGTGTCAGGGAAATCAGGGAATTTAATTCTCCAAACTCTGTGGCAGCCCTGAATTATTTTCGCGCCGAGCTCGATGGCGATGGTAGCACAGCGCAAAACAGCGCACACATCAAGGGTGGCATTATTCGATTATACGATTTAACGATGTTTATTCTTAGTGTAGCTACGCCTTCATGTTCCCCTCCTTCATTGCTTCTGTCCATTTGAACATAGCGGCGTTTGTAAACATTCTTTTTCCACAAAAGAGCGCCGCGTTAATGTCGCTTCGAGTATTGACGAGGCGTGAATGATCGACTATCGATATTTCCTCATATAAAGCTGTGGCAAAGAATCGATTATTCAGGTGTTCGGTACGAACACCCTGTTTATCGATCTTTTTCCATAGGTTTAGGTAGCAGACCAATCGATATATCGCAAATCACGCCTTCATCGTTGGCTTCGAGCCGATTCCGTCGAAATAATTCGGTCCTGCCATCTCCTCGAAGGAGATTCGACTACATTTTGCAGTAAAAAACTGTAGAACCAACATATTTGCTATTAGTTTCCTTATGCGGATCGGTGCTTTTGTGCATGAGCAAAAAGTGTGTGAAAGTGTTCTCCATCTTACTTTGAAAAGATAGTCAAGTGCATACTTTTTTCCTATGAGGATCAACTTACGGAATTGATAATGCACTTTTTACAGTGAGCAACTTGGCGACCGACTCCCATATTCTGTGTTCAGAATGTCTCTTAACCCTTAGATGTCCAAGACTGTTCAAATTGACCCGAAGATTGCTTAAAACACGTGGCCCGCGGATTGGGGCCAATACATACGAGCTTTTGATGTAGATTCACAAACGTATCGTGAAAAAGGAATCAGACATTACTCGGGTTAAACTTTTCTGCCCAAACCAAGCGACGCGTTCTTGGCAGCAAAGAGCGGAGCATTACGAATTCACGCCTCGGGTCATCGCGCCTTCAATTTTGCAGATGCAACACGGATATCCATCAAGCACGAATAGTTGTATCTCTGCGCCGTCATCCACGCGCTTCCTTTTTCTTTCTCTATTCCTTTTTCTTTCCTTGTTGTGTCGGTTCCGATGTTTTATTTGTAGTGGTACTGAAAGGGCTACTTAAGAACCACAGCCGAGGACAGGAGATATGTATTCCGGCCTCGTTTTTTAAGTTTTCTCCCGAATCTGAGTGACATTTCATTGGTAACATAGAACAGAGCTTTGCGAGTTTAAGCCTCGCGTTATGGCGCCTTCAATTTTGTAGATGCAACACAGATATCCACCAAGTACGAATAGTTGTATCTCTGCGCCGTCTTCAACGCGCACTGAGGTGTTTCTTATTATCGATATCTTAGAAAAGCTATGTTCAAGCTTGCCATGATATGCCAATATGCCATGTTCAAATATGCCATGATATGTCTAGATCAACAATTATTTCGAAAAAGAAAAAAAAAGTAAAGTAATTTTTAGATGTCTTTAAAGCGCCGTAACGACCACACTTCTACTCCTAGAAATTCCAAGCCGGGTCAAGCTGATATCTCGTCTGGGGAAGTTGCATATGGCGGATGAGGAGGGACGGTAAAAAAGCGCCAATTTGTCACCAAAGGTTTTTTTTTAAGTATATCCTACTTTCAAAAACATTAAAATAACATCGATAATACTTCAAAAACTATCAAAATCAACTATCAACCATGTATTCAAATACGGGTCAATTTTACCCCACTTGGGACTTCACGTATGTAAAAAAGTCTTGGGCATCTGAAGGTTAATGTTTGTTCCTCAACACTAGGAAACTTTTTTCTGCGTTTCTCCCTTAGCGCCCCGTAAATTTTCTTTGTCTCCTCAGAAATATTGCTCCTCAGAGTTGACCCCTTTTCGATATAAACGATTTAATTATACCCCAACGTGTCTGAGCTCATTGCTTGTTAAAGAGTTGATATACTACAAAAATGCATATTGATAGAATCTTCTTCCTCGCTGAATTTCCTAAGAAATAGATGGTCGAATCATCAATCAACCATATTCCCAGAAACTCAAGTTAAGAATCGAGTAAACTTCTCATTTTCTGTTTTTAGCTCATTTTTTCTTTTTTCATCTTAACAAATATATTCTTCCAACTTCTATTACTTTCTTCGTCTAGAATAGCATTCTCTTTTCCAATGGATTTCTTGTGAAATTAACTCTCTCACAAATTAAAGCCGACGGACTTTCTAAGAATAAAATGAAATATCTCTGTGTCCCTCGAGTTTGCCCAACTGCTCGTGTAAAAGCGTCCCTTCGTTCTTCTCCTTTCGATTCACAGAATCCTGAAACACCAAGACATCGTCATTTCTCGTTTCGGTTTTTCAAAGGATCA